CAAAGTGACTTAAAGGTCCTTATAATATTGAACTTTTTACTAACTGTATATTGCAACTGATGATAGATCAGAAAAGTTTTGATATGTTACTCCTTAATATTTGTTAAATATTTTCTTTCAGGATACTATAGACTTTTTTGTAGACTTTGTTTTTAATATATATTTTTTTTTATTTAGATGGGCCTAGGAAAGACAATCCAGGCGATTGCAGTTGCTTACTTCTATAAAGAGGAGTGGCCGCTTCTGATAGTTGTCCCTTCATCTCTGAGGTACCCTTGGACGGAAGAACTAGAGAAATGGATCCCAGAGCTAGGGCCAGAGGAAATCAATGTTATTCTGAATAAAACTGATACTTGGTAAGAACTTACTAATCTTGAAGAAAAAAAAATGTGTCTTCTTTTTATTTAGTCCACACTTATATTTTGTTCTTATTTTGTTTTTTCATGCTAGAGATCAAACCCAGGGCCTCATGCATCATATTCTTGTTTTGACGTAAATAGTTGTGTTTTACATGTAACAACATGAATTGTTTACCTAAAAACCAATAATATATATTAATTTTTTTTTTATGTGTGTGAGTGTATTTCCTGCATGTGTGTAAGTGCACCCGTATTGTGCAATGCCTGCAGAATTCTGAAGAGGGCATTAGATTCCCCTGTAACTGGAGTTACAGATAGTTATTACCCACCATGTGGATGCTGAGAATAGAACCCAGATCTTCTTCAGGAATAGCTAGTGCTCTGATCCATCTCTCTAGCCCCAACCAATAATATATTTAATCTCTACATTCCTTTGTTATACCTTAAAAGGAAATGCAAAATACCTATACTTTAAAAACCTGTATAGTTATTTGATAAGCCTAAAATATACTTAAAACTAATTGTTAAAGGTTCAAAAATAAATTTCATGTTTTTTCCCAAATTAAATTGAAGTTGTATGAGCTTTTATCATCAGCAATCTTGACAGAGTTTGCTTTCCAGGTTGCTAATATGCAAATGTTATATATCACTCAATTCTAACAAGCTTGATTTTATTAGGTTAATTTATAAATTATATATTTTATATCTTTCAATCAATTGATCATTATTTACAATCTTTAAAAATGTATTATTATAATATTTCTAGTGAGTTTTTTCCCATTTTATTTTGCTTTTGGACTAAGTCAACTCATTTGAAAGTAAGTTACTGTGTTGTATATCTAGTTGAATGATGAAAATTATCATGTTTCCTAAGCTTCAGAATTATCATTTTCTGGGCTTTGAAAGCTACACATCTATCTGAAAGAAGTATCTGTTGATTCTTAGATTGTTCTTGGTAATATTATATTGCACTATATTCTCTAATACTGTTAATATAAAGAATATTTGTAGGAATAACTTGCTTTCTTGAGGAAGGAAGAAGTAGACAAAATAGATATAGAACTTTTTATCTCTTTCAGCTTTGGAGCCCTAATTCATTTGCATACAACTGTACTGACCCAAGAAAATTTAATCACTGTTTTCATTATTAAAGTTAAATCGCTGGGTGTAGGGGTGTACAGCCTTAATCCCAACACTCAGATGCAGGTGGATCTCTTGGAGTTCAAGTCCAGCCTGGTGTACATAGTGAGTTCCAGGCCAGCCAGGATTACATTGTGAGACCCAGTCTTAAAAAACAAAACAAGACCTCCCTCTGCTTCCCTGGGCCTGTAGGACCCACAGGCCTCTCTCTGGGGTAAGTCGACCATGCCCTCAGCACCTTGACTCGCCCAGCCTCATTCACCCTCCCATCTCCCCCGCCCATCTCTCCTCCTAGCCTGGGACTTGTCCCATTCCTTGTCTTGGTGCCCCAGATACCAGGGGAACCACCACTGCTTCCTGATCCTTTGCATCCAGACCAACCCAGTTCCTTCTGGGGTCCCCAGGAGCCCTCTGGGCCTGGCCCCGCCCTCACCTCCCTCTACTTCCCTGGTTTGCACAACCCACCAGCCTCTCTCGCTGGAGCCCCTGGGCCTGGTCCTGCCCTCACCTCCCTCTGCTTCCCTGGGCTGCACAATCTGCCAGCCTCTTTCCTGGACACTGGGCTTGACCTTTCCTCTTCCTGGTCCTTTGCATCCAGAAGAACCCAGCTCCTCAGTGCAGTCCCCAGGGGCCCTTGAGGCCACTGCCTGCCACCATCTTCCTTTGCATGGCTGGGTGGCACAGACACCAGCTGCCCTAGACAAGCATCTTTCCTGGTCCCAGCTCCCAGGCCAGTCCAACCCCCAAATTCCTCAGGCCAAAATCTTTCCTGGAGGGATCCAGACCTTAGGAGAAAGCCTGAAAACATCTGATCCTCACCTGATTTGGGCCTCTGTGGGACTCCTGAAGACAAACGCAATCTGGCCACTCCAATAGAAAACCAAGAGAGAGAACCGGAAGCTTAGAGGAACCAGCTTTTCATGCCCCAAAAGTAAACCACAAAGACACATAAAGTTCAAAAAAAGAAGCTGACCTAAACTTCAAGGCTTGAGTCTCACACAAGAATCAGAAACTACAAAAGAAATTCACATGTCAAAATCACTGAGAAAAAAATAATAACCTGAAAAAACAAAATAACATATCCCCACCAAATACCAATAGTCCTCTAGGGGAATACAATCAGACCCCCCTAGAGATAATGCAGGACATGGAACTCAAAAGAACAATTATAAGCATTATTGGTTCCCCATGTGTCTGGGGTCCCAAGACAAAGAATGGGGCAGGGCACAAACTAGGAGGAGACACCAGCAGGGGAGATGAGAGGGTGAATAAGGCTGGGGGAGTCAAGATGCACAGGGCATGACAGACTTAGCCTGGAGAGAGGCCTGTGGATGAACTAGACCACTCAAGCAAAGATTATGAAAAATTTAAGAAAGCACAAGAATGGAATATGCAGGAATTGTGTGACACCATAAACAGACCAAACTTATGAGTCATAGACATACAGGAAGGAGAAGAATCCCAAAATAATGGAATGGACCCGATCTTCAACAGAATCGTAGAAGAAAATTTCCGAAAATTAAAGAAAGACATGCCCATACAAATACAAGAAGCATATAGAACACCAAACAGACAGGACGAGAAAAGAAACTCTCCATGGCACATCATAGTAAAAACACTAAATGTACGAAACAAAGAGACAATACTGAAAGCTGCAAAAGAGAAACAATAAATCACATGCAAAGGAAAACCCATTAGGATTACAGCTGACTTTTCAGTGCAAACTATGAAAGCCAGAAGAGCCTGGACCAAAGTATTCCCAGTTTTAAATGACCACAGATGCCAACTGAGATTACTATACCCAGCCAAAATGTCTATTATATTCGAAGGGGTAAGAAAAATCTTCCATGACATAAATAGGCGGAAGGAATTCGTGTCCACAAAACCAGCCCTTCACAATACAAAGAGCTGAACAAAGGAATGATTGTACCCAAGGGGTTGCAGAAAGAAATTCAATGAAGGTATAACTGTGGAAAAGTCCAGCTATATCAAGAATGTAAACAGAAATAAAAGTGACAGGATTCAATACTCATTGATTGAACTCCCCAGACAAAAGACACAGATTAGGTGAATGGATTAAGAAACAAAACTCATCTTTTTGTCTGCAAGAAACTCATCTCACTTTCAAGGACAGACACTATCTTAAATTGAAAGGATGGAAAAAAATATACCAAGCAAACAGTACTAAGAAAAAAGCAGACATTGCAGTTCTAATATCTGATAAAAATAGACTTTAAACTAAAACTAATCAGAAGAGATAAAGAGGGCCACTTCATTCTGATCAAAGGAACAATAAACCAAGAA